TCAATTATACATCATACAGAAACAGAAAAACAATATGCGGTTGCCAGAATGAACATCAGGCAAAGGAGAAATACGCATGGTGAGCAGTAACTTTATCACACCGTAGCAATAAAGATTAACGGGCGATCTAAGGCTAAATTCAATCCTATTATACCTTATATACTAGTAATAGAGTTTCGAAATTAGTTAAATTCAGTAAATTATTTTCAATAAAAATTATTTTTACATAAAATTAAATTTCTCTATATCTAAATAACTATCCATATTCCTGAAATTATTCCTAGAATTATGCAAACAAGCTCTATTTTTTGTAATTTTTCCACTCTAATTCCATGATTTTTCTTCCCCAGCGTGGCTTTATTTTTATCGTCATGAGTGTGGTTATGATCATGATCATGACTATGATTGTGATTATGACTGTGAGTTTCTGAAGACTTTTCTACTTTATTTTCTGGTTTTGAAGGTTTTTGTGTTTCATTTGATCGTTTTACAGGTTTTTCTGCATTATCTGAATGTTTTGAAGAGCCATCTGCCTTTTCTGATACATCCGGTGCCTTTTCATATTCCCTTTTTTCCAACTCAAATGAGGATGTTGAAGGTAGCCCATAGTCATAAGCTTTAGTAGCAATACCACATGTGTGTGATGCAGCATTTACAGAACAACCACATGACGCTGTTATTATAATAGTTGTAACACATTGAAATCCTGTAGCTGGAACATTACAATCACTTGTGGGTGTTGGAACATCACTATCAGACGATTCATCTGGATTAGCAGGAAACTGAGTAGCCGTAGTTTCAGGAAACTGAGTAGCCGTAGTTTCAGGAACTGTTTCTGAACACCTTGTATAATGAGGTTTTTGTCTGCAGCATTTTGTCCTAAAAGCTACAGCTGTATGAGTATAATATGAAACTTTTGTTTCGTATATAATTTCATTAACTATAAGCGTGTGGACATTTTGAAAGTCAGAAGGTGCAGATTCATCTGATGCCTTCTCCTGTGATGGTTCTTGACGAGCAACAAGATGCGTTTCCTCTAAATCTTGACCTTCCGGTACATCTCTCCTAAATTCCCTGGGGACATTATTATCATCAAAAGGTATATTTCTAGATTCAAAAGAGTTATATGAAGATGCAATACCAGAATTTAATCCGTCTACATCACTTGAAAAAGATTCTGAAACATCTTCCGCATAATCTATATATTAAAAAATATATATAAAAAAAAAAAAAAGATACCCAAATCCCCCACTTTTCTTGAGAGGACACGTATTACCCCCAAAAAAATCACAAATATTGGTATTTTCATTGACAATATTAAGTGAAAAACAAATCCGCTACTTTAGTAAAACAAGTTTTTATAGGAAAAAAAAAACTTGAACGAAAAGCTAATATCACGCTATTAAAAAAAAAATAGTATATATGATATTATCTAATGATAAATAAATAATAATAATAATGATAATAATAATAATAACTTAGTATATTAATATATTTATATCTTTATATATATATTTATTTATGTAAATTTTAAAATGACTATTTTTAAAATTATTAGAAATTTTTTAAAAAATACATAATGATATTTAATATCATTTTTTATGTTTTTAATATGCTAATGTTAGTTGATATTTAGTCTTTTATAAATAATTTTACTTTTTTATTGATTTGAAAAGATTAAATCTATATAATATTATATATAGGGTTAATAAAAAAGGATAAATTTAAAACCTTATATTATAAGATCTAAGATATTTCTAAAATTGAATGTTTTGAAAAATTTTAAAGAATGACGCAGGAAGCGAATAGTGAAAAGACGAATTATCCAGAATTTCCAGTAAAAGACAAATTTTATGGCGAAAAAAATCCTTTTGAGGATGAATCGGAGGGGGTTAAGTATAGAACTATGTCATGGATGCATACAGGGGTATTGATGACAGCCGAAACAATTTCCCTTGGTGTTTTATCACTTCCATCTATGTATGCAACTCTTGGAATTAACCTTGGTCTTTTTTTTGTTATATTACTTGGTATTGTGGCAACATATACGGGCTATGTTCTTGGTCAATTTAAAGCGAGATATCCTTTTGTTTATAATATGTCCGATGTTGCATATATAATGTGTGGACCTATAGGACGTAAATTCATTGGGGTTTGCCAAATTGTTTTTTTAATTTCGGCTATGGGATCTCATGTTCTTACTGGTGGGATTGTATTTAATACGATTACTAATCATGCTACTTGCACTATTATTTTTACTTTTCTGACAGCAATTATATGTATGCTTTTTAGTCTTCCTCGTACTTTTAAATTTGTTTCTTATTACTCTATTGCATCATTTGCAAGTATTATGATCTCAGTATATCTTATTATATTTGCTGTTTCTATTGGGAAACGTCCTGCTGATATCACTTTCGGAATTCCAAAAGATACTACTTTTTTTAGGGCCTTTAGTAGTATTACAAATATTATATTTGCATATGGTGGTCATGTTATTTTCTTCAGTTTAATATCGGAAATGAAGAATCCATCAGATTATGTAAAATCATTATTTATGCTTCAAGTATGTGATATATTTGTTTATCTATCTGTTGTCATTATATATATTTATGTTGGTGACAAAGAATTTAAGAGACTAAGTTATGTTACAGCGTTAAGTGCAGCTTCTCCTCTTATTAGGAAAATCGCATATGGTATTTCTATTCCTACTGTTATTATTTCTGGATCTATTAGTGGACATGTTTCAGCAAAATATATCATGGTTTATATTAGTAAATGGTGTAAAGATTTGTTATACATGAGAAACTATAAATTTACTCTTATTTGGCTTTCTGTCTGTTCTACTGTTTGGCTAATATCATGGTTTATTGCGGAAATTGTTCCTATTTATAATGATCTTCTTGGTCTCATCGGAAGTTTATTTATATCTTGGTTTACTTATGGCACAGGAGGTATATTTTGGCTTTATCTTGAAAAAGGAAGATATTTTGTTTCTAAGAAAAGTACATTTTTGTTCGTCGTAAACACATTGATAGTCGTCTTAAGCTTTTTTACCATGTGTATGGGTGTATATTCTAATGCTGTCGCTATTCATAACAATCGTGTAATAAAAGGTGTTTTTTCATGTGTCGAGTAAATTTTTATTTTTTTGTTTATCTATATATCTATCTGTCTGTTTTTATAGATAAATAGATAGGCTGTTTTGTTTTTTTATTTATATTTATCTATATTTTATTTCTTGAAATTTATATTTATGAATATGTAAATAGCTTTATTATAATATTTCTGGTTTATGGCATTTTTCAAGTATTTCGATATCTAGATGTTTATAAATTTTGATATATCATTGTTATTAAATATTTTATTTTAAAATATATTTAACATTTAACTTGAGCAAATATTTTGATAAACTGATATATTTATATCTAAAAAAAATACTTTTAAAATATATGATACAAATAATGTATTTCTAGTTAAAATCAAAATATAAACCTAAATCTTTTATCTTAAATAAATTATCTGATAAGAAAAAAGGTTATTGAAATTTCTATTTTAAATGATGTATAAATATAAAATAAAAACTGAATTAATAATTAATGTTTGTTCTATAGAGTAATTAGATTGTCTATAAATCGTAGTAAGACATATAATTAATAAATCAAAAAAATTCTTTTAAATTATTTTTTAGTTTTGATGCTCTAATGTATAATAATGAGGACTAAATAATATTATCAAAATAATGTTCAAAGATTTAGATAGACTTACGCTAATTCAAGTAACCATTCTCTTTTAATAGTAGTAATGTCACGCATAAATATTTTTTTTTTCGTTTCTAAAACTTCATTGAATATAACCCAATCAGTTTTACGATTAAACATTATTGAACTAGGATGAACATAAAGGATCTAAACATTAGAAATAATTATAAATTAGGCTTCTATTACCGAATTCCCCTTTACAAGACGAAATGATCCATCTGCCTGCATTTTAGCTGCATGAGAAAAATAACCACTAACTAAGCATTTCCGAATATTGTCGGTGCCATTTTTAGGATCAGCGGACTCAATTGGAATTTTAAATCGTTCTAAATATCTGCGAAGTTGAGCTCTTATGCTTACTGCCCTTGATAAAGCTTTAAAATTGAGAAAATGTTCATAACACCATTTAGAAGATTTTTCTCCTTTCGTAGTAAATGCCTGAAATACTAAAATGAAATAAATAACATTATTTAAACATATGTAGTTTTTTACTGTTCATTAAAGTGATATGATCTCCTTCCTCTACTGAAAACTTTTTTCTAGCTGCTTCAAAAGATTTTTTATTTTCTTGAGGCAAAAAAACATTCTGAACAGATATCATAGCAGCAATTGTAAGAATTTGTTCTCCACATGAAAATTTGTTTGACATTAATAGCTAAATAATTAATTTATATAAGTTATTTTCAAATGCCAAAAAATACCATTTTAGCCATTTTTGGATTAATAGGAAATTCTGCCATTCTCATCCCTAAAGGATTAGTCAATTTTCCGTATTCATCTAATGAATCTAGAGCAAATAAAAGCTACTTATAGTCAAATTAAATTCTGAAATCATATTGTTAAACCTCCAACGATTGGATCACCATTTCTGAAGGAGGATTAGTTATATACTCAAATCTTGCAATATTATCAATTCCAAGAGCTTTCAATTGCAAAATTAATCCTGTTAAATCACTTCTTTGAATTTCAGGAATATTTGTTTCTTTCAAAGCATGAAAACTTGAATTATCATATAATCTAAAACATTTCCCCGGTCGTGTTCTTCCAGCACGTCCAGCACGCTGCAATGCAGATGTTTTGCTAATAGGTGTAATTATAAGGGATTCAAAATTTGTATGTGTGTTAAATACTCGTAACTAAAATAGATTAAAATTTACTTTATATAAGAAATGTATACTTTAACAAATCCTGAATCTATAACATAAACAATTCCATCTATGGTAACACCTGTTTCCGAAATATTGGTACTAACAATTACTTTTCGTGTACCTTGAGGAGCAGAGGCAAATATTTCTATTTGTCTCTCATTTGATAAGCCAGAATATAAAGGAAGTGCTAATATTCTTGGGTCATTATTCGAAAGTAAATGATTAGATTGTTCAATTATTTTAGAAATACAAATATCAATTTCTTCTTTTCCTGTAAGAAAAACAAGAATATCTCCTTCTTTTTCCTATATCGACTAGTTATTATTTAAGAAAAGATATTAGCAATAATACCTTTGAATTAATTTCAAAAATTGTCTCTACAGATTTTTCAATGTAATTAGAAGTAGGTTCTGATAAATATAAAATATCCACAGGATACATTCTTCCTTCTATAGAAATAATTTTAGCTGTGTCATCATTTTCTTTATTAAAATAAGACAGCAGTTCATCTGCATTTAATGTAGCGCTTGATATAATTATTTTCAATGTATTTCTCTTTTTTTGAATTCTTTAAAATAATGAGATCATTATTGTATAGTTAAAAATTAGATTACTTTTTTAATATGCCTAATAAAATATCGGTATAAAGGGATCTTTCATGAACTTCGTCTAACATTATTACACTGTAATGAGAAAGTAGTGGATCAATTAATGTTTCTCTAACAAGCATGCCATCGGTCATGTATTTAATTTTTGTTTTTTCTGAAGTAACATCTTCAAAGCGAATTGAATATCCAACCTATATTATTAAACATAATCCTATTTATATATTTAAATAAACTTCATCTCCTAATGGACATCCAACTTCTTCTGCAACTCTTATTGCAACAGTTGCTGCTGAAATCCTTCTAGGCTGATCATATTTTTAATATAGAAAAATAAATCTATGTAAATGTTTTCTACCTGAGTACATGCAATTATGTTTCCATTATCACCCCATCCTGCTTCTTTTAAATATTGGGGAAGCTCTATAATTTGATAAATAAATACAAATATCTATATTATAAATGTTACGTGTAGTTTTCCCTGATCCTGTTTCCCCAACAATTATTGTAACTGGAGTTTTTTCAATTAAATAAAGTAATGCATTTTCTAAATGTTTTATTGGTTCTAAAAATTTAAATATTAAAATGATTTATTTATACTATGTTGATATATAGGAAGAAGTTCACGTTGTCGTTTAATTGATAAAGATGTAAGTTTATTTATTATAGGGATATTCCCTTCATCAATCTCATTTTCTGAAGCTTTATCTAATGTTGATCCTCCAAATGCCATTAAAAATTATTTTTATTCGTTTAAAATCTTAAACGAATATTATTTAATTAAAATTTATAAATTTTTAAGTATTTTCGCTTTTTCTGTATTTATAGAAGATAAAACTAATATGATTAAAAATAAATTATAAAATATACCTTAATTCCGTAAATTAGAATTAAAATTTACTTTCGAAATTATATAATACTATATTTGTAAATACTGTTATGTTAATTTTACTATATCTTATAAGACTTAATCATTTTTATATTAAATATTTGAATGATTAAGTTTAAAATAATTAAAATTGATAATTGTATGATTACGGTTATCAATACTTAATATGATATTTTAAACAATCATAAAACCAATTTTTTATATTGCCAAAAATCATAATTTTTAAGATTTATTTTTAATATAATTATTTAAATAATATAATTTACAAAAAATATTTTCCTATGAATTAAATTATATGTGATTTTCAATATTTATTTTGAAATAGTTATGTCCTGAAATTTAAATAATTCCTATAGTCATTTTAATAATATATTTATACTCATTCTATATATTTAATTATAATTTTAATTCAAATGATTTTTTAATTTCTTTAGAGTTCTTTGAATGTTTTATAACACTTTTTTTTTCATTATTTCCTTGTACAATTTTAACATCACTTTTTTTAAATGTTTTAATGATTTCTTTGGTTAGCTTGTCGGGTTTGTTCAATAATTTATGTTTTTCCTTAGATCTAAGATATTTCCGATATCTGTTTTTTTCTTCCTTGCTCATTTCATTTTTTGCGATTATTATACCAGATCTTCTTGGAATTTCATCTTTAACTTTTTCTGATCCAGTAACATATATTTCATGGGGCGCTAGCATATTTTGTGTAGCAAATGACGAAGGTTGAGCTTCTTCCATAGTAATTGTTGAAACGTTGGAAACAACATTAAATGTAGGTTTTGCCTAAATCTCATAAGAAATGAATATTTAATGTAATTCAAGTATAGTTACAAGTTTTGGCTTATGGTATATACTACTTAATGAATTAAGCTTGTTCATTGCTTTTTTAAAAAGTTCTTCGATTTCATTATGTTCTTTAATTAGTTTTTCATCTTTCTTTCCTATATAATTAGGGTCTGTTTTTTTATTATATTCGTCTTCATAAATCTCTGCTAAACTTTTTTCATTTTTTTCATCATTAATTTCAAATAATTTGCTAGGATGAAATGTTTTCTTCTTTTTAGAATATATTTTTTGAACATCATTAAAATTAGAATCGATAATTCTTTTTTTAATCATTTCTTCAAGATCCAAGATATCTTGTTTAGTTATCGCTGGTTCTGGTTTTGTTTCCCTTTCAAATTCTATATCTTCTTCAAGCAATGAATTTATAAATCTATCTTTAGCCTTTACTTCTCCCATTAACATCCAATCCTTTTTCGATACATTTTCCATTTCAAGCTTTTTTATCTCTTCAGACAATATTTTCTGAGTTTTCATATATTCTGATTTATTAGACATTTCATGTTCTTTAATTTCCTCATTACTATCTGCAAATAAATCTTGCTGTACTTTAGATATGATATTTTCATGATTTTCATTTATATTGGCATCTTCTTTTAAATTGCTAGCATCATGCTTCTTATTTTTTGTTGATTTTTGTATATTAGATGATTCTTCATCACTCTTTTTTCCTATTGAAGGAAGAAAAAAATCCGCATATTTAATTTCATTAGTATTTTCAAATTCTTTATCTAAATATTCACCGCTTATTTCACTGTCACTTAAATTAGAAAGATAATACATATCGTCATCTTCTTCATCAGAAAGGTTATCTATTTTTTCCAATTTTTTTATTTCATTATTAAAATTGTTAGTAGAATCGGGCGAATTATTTAGTTCAAGTACTTTCTCTTTAGGAATACTTTTATCTTCCTAAATATTTTAAGATCACTCATTGATAGTAATAATTTTTACTTCTGAAATATATTCGTCATTAATTGGTAGTATGTTACTTTTATTTGTAACAATATCCATAGAATTTCCCTTATATTTCCCTTCATTAAGCTCTTTAGGACTATCTACATCCCTTTCAACTGTATCTAATTCTCTTTTTGTTTTATATTTTAATTTTTTTTTGAGGTTTACTTGATTTTTTAAAATATTTTTTAATTCTTCAACCAACTTATCAATTAATCCATTCGTAATAAGTCTGACTTCTTCAAATACTTGATTTCCATCCAATCCATTAAGGTATAATTCATCAAAAACGCTATTTTGTTTGGTTACAGGATCAAGTAATTTTTTTACTTGAAAAAGAATACTAGAATGAAGTTTATTTGATGGTTTTAAAAACTTCTTTGGATCATGTAATAAAACATTAAGTTGTGTATATATTCCATGTTCCATTATATTTTGTTATTTTTTATTAGAATTATGTTTTTAATGTTTTTTTATAAAAAAAATCGAATTTTAATGAATTTTGAATTTAAATGAAATTTCATTAAAAAAATCTTTATAATTATTGCTAAAAATTTAATTAACCTTGAAATCTTATTAATATTAAATTAATTCTATATATTTATATAAATTTTAAAATTACAATACGTTTTATTAAAAATATAGATATGATGTTTTATCTAAATTACGTTAAAAATTTATATATATTATTTAATTTAGAAAAATGAATATATTAATGAAATAATGTTTATAATATCAATTATTATTATGCTCTTTTTTAAATAATATCTGTATATCTGTCTTTGAAATTATATACCTATATACTGTTTTAGATTTTTAATTAAATCTTTTTAGAAATTTAATTTTATTAAAGATTATTTTTTTATAATTGTTTACAATATATTAAAAAAATGTTCTATAATAATATACTAGATATCTTATTTATATTTTTCAAAAAAAATATCTTGATTGTAATAATTGCAATAATTAAAAAATAAAATATGTTATTTAAAAAAGTAGATATTTAAAGATAATTTAGATAATATGTTTAAATTTTTATTAAGGAAAATACATTTCTTAAATTTATTTTATATAGATATTAAATTATTATTATATTTATAATTTTTATATTAATAAAATATTTTTTTATTTTTAAAAAAATATTGATATTAATTAAATTGATATAAAGTTTATAAAATATATATTTTGTTATTATTTTATAATTAATTTTCTAAAAATATAGATGATTTAAATCCAAAATTATATAATTTTTTTCATTAATGATTTATTTGTAATTTTTTTTAAAAATATTACGATTTCATATTTTTAAAATATCTTTATAACTGTTTATTCGAATGTATTTGCAATCCTTTATACATTTTAAAAGTACTTTAAACAGTATTTAAATTTAGGAGAAATATTATAATATTTTCTATCAACATTTTTATATATTTTTAAAGTGATTTTTTGTATTTAATGAGTTTTAGAAATCTTAAAAAGCTTGAAAAGCTTCAGGATAGCTCTTCATCTTGTCTTATTGATGAAGATTTGGACAATGAAATAGTTTTGGATCATGATGATAATGATTTAAATCAGTCATCTTCAAATAATTATAATCGTTTTTCTATAGTAAAGTATTAAAATTTATTAAAGGCTTTCTTATAAATACAAGCTTGATACCAATGTTGAAATCGATCAGGATGCAGCATCAGAAGGTGACAATAAAAATGTTGAATATAATGTATGTGTTTTAATAATATTATTAAATAAAAAGAGTAATTTGTTAGAATGGAAATAATATGCATTTTAAAAAAAGTATAATCAAAAAAAAAAAGAATAAATCGAAAAATATTAACAAAGAATTATCTGAAATTGATGATAATTGCACTTTTTTGGTATTTCATGAAATTGAAAATATTAATAAGATTTCTGATAACCATAATTCATTATCAAAATCAATAACAGAGAATCATGAAAATAAACTTCAACAGAAACAACTGAATCTTTTAAGTATAAATCTGCATTTTTTAGACTCAAATATGGAAATGAAAACTCTTTTTGGAAAAAAGGCTATAGATAATGATTCTAAAAAAAAATCAAGAAAACATAGAGCTAGTTTTGAAACTAGTAAATTTAGTAAATCACCTCTAATGCGTTTTAAAGAGTCATGGTCACCATTACTTAATAGTGGTATATCGATGGATGTCGTTAATTATATTGATGGTTATTTTAAATTTTGATTTTTTTATCTAACCTTGATCTTATAGGTATTGGATATTTCAAGTTTACATTTTCAAGAACATATCAGGATATTCAGCAGCAATTTTTGAGTGCCGTTCATACTTTTGATCCAAATAATCTTTTAATATTATTACAATATAACCGTTGCTTTTATAATCCACTATATTTAATATTTTTAAAGCTAATCTATTATAGCATATCATGTTGATACATTGCTTCAAGTGTCAGAAATTTTAAAACAGGAGGGAAATCATCAAGATTCTATAGACTTGATTGGTTAAATATTTAATTTTTAATTAGTAGCCTAATTATTATAGAACGTGCATTATATTCTCTTGGGCGTGGATTTCATCCAGCATTTAATATATCTACAGGTCGTGTTCGTCTTCCTTTTAACTATTCTGAAAACCGTTCTATGTATCTTGCATTATATCGACATATTCATAATTTAGAAAAAAAAGGTTGCTGGAGGACTGCTTTTGAATTTAATAAACTTCTACTTAGGCACTTTTTTGTTTTTTTTTCATTTATTATTTTTTATTGATTAATATAGTTTAAGTCCTTTAGAAGATAAAGACTGTTACGGCGCTCTTTTGACTATAGATTTTTTTGCTTTAATGTCAAAGGAATATGATTATATTATTGAATTATCAGAATGGCATGATCAGGAATATTTAAAGAGGCTTCCTTCTTTTGCATTTTCGCTTGCACTAGCTCTCTTTCACAAAGAAAATATAGATGATTTGCATATTAACTCTAAAGAAAAAATTGCTATTGCTGCTTGCACATTTCCCTGGGTTATTAAGTCACTCTTTTTGTTATTAGAACTAGATATTCCTAATGGTTATGGATCAATTGATCCACCCACAGATCTTGATGCGCTTTATATGGATATTTATTTATCCCGAGCAAAAGATATTTGGAATACTCCTAAGCATTTAAGTTTTTTACGCTCTGTATTTCTAAAACCTCCTTTAGTTGATGAAAACATTAAGGACCTTGATTATTCAATTCCTGCAGGTGTCTTGAGATATGTTTTACTTTCAGGAAATAGAAATTTTATTCAATATTTGCCTCCGTCAATTACATCTCAACCAATTATGGAATATGATATTTTTCCTCCTGATAATTTTGTACCATTTATAGACTCGTCTACATTTGATTCAGAAAATAGTTTAACTACTTAGAACAATTAAATATCTATTTAAAATCTTATTGAAATTTTCAAAATCAGAAGAATATATATTTCTGGAACTGTAGAATTGAGTATTGAGGAAGATATTTTTATAATAAGAATTAATATTTAAATGAGAATTCATAAAGGAACAACTTTATTGAATATTTCTTCAGGAATTAAATGTAGGATATTAAAATTCCAAAGCGGAAAAATTTAATATATCTAATATACAGCTTTTTTCAATTTGTATTACTTGTATTGGGTTTTATAATTCGATAAAAACAAAATGCTAGCATTTTATTAGAAATTATGCAGAACACTTTAAAGATTAATAAAGGAAAAAATAGTTTAAATACTACCATCTCACAAGATTCTGGGTTTTGAATAGAGCAAGAAATCATCTTTTCACTATATATGTCATTTTCGGATTCTTCATATTGTTTCATTTTTATATTTTCCTTATTTAGTTTATCTATTTTTTTTTTATTTTGATCACTAGATATTATATCTTCAGAGCAAATTTCCTTTTCTAATGATTCAGCTAAAGAATTTACATTAGTCGTATGTTTCAAAGTAGATGGTAGCTTTTTAGAAGTTGTCTCTTCAACTTCCTCAAGAGCCTTACGATCCACAGTGAACTATATTTTTAAGCAAAACTTTAAAAAAAGTAACAATTACCTGAATTGGTGCACTCGCTGCTTGTGTTCGAAGATAGTACATCCCTGTCTTTAAACCTTTTCTCCATCCCCAAAAATGCATACCAGTAACTTTCAAAAGTTAGCAAAAAACTTAATAATACAAAAATATACTTTTTCCAAAAGATGGATCACGAATATGGATGTTTAAACTCTGACTTTGATCGATAAATGCACCACGATCAGCTGCATAATCAATAATAGTCTAACATATTAGTATAATTTTTTTGCAATATAAAATACCTTTTGAGGTAGCTCCCAAACAGTTTTATATAATGCTTTAATATCTGATGGAATATTGGGTATACTTTGAATGGAACCATTATTTGCGATAATTCTATTTCTCATATTATCATTCCATAGCCCTAAATCAACCAAATCTTTAAGCAACCATGGATTTACCACTTGAAATTCTCCTGCAAGAACTCGTCTAGAATATATATTACTAGTATAAGGTTCAAAGCATTCATTAAATCCAAGAATTTGAGAGGTACTTGCAGTAGGCATTGGTGCTACAAGAAGAGAATTTCGAAGACCATGCTGTGCAATATTGGATTTTAATTTTTCCCAATCCCATAAGTCTGTAGGAGTTACATTCCACATATCATATTGTAAAATACCCTGAGATGCAGGGGATCCTTCGTATGTTTCATACGGGCCTTCTTCTTGTGCCATTTCACACGATGCTTCCAAAGCAGCATGGTATATTGTTTCAAATATCTTAATATTGAGCTCTTTTGCTTGAGGTGAATCAAATGGCATTCTAAGAGCCAAGAATGCATCCGCAAGTCCTATCTTTTTTAATAGAAAAACAATTTATAATTTCTTCTCAAACCTTGAACACCAATGCCTATAGGACGGTGTCTTTTGTTCGATCGCCTAGCCTCTTCAACAGGATAATAATTAACATCAATAATTTTGTTTAAATTTCTTGCAACAACCTTTGTAACATCATGCAATTTTTGAAAATCATAGGTATTTTTATCAACAAAAGTTGGCAATGCAACACTTGCAATATTGCAAACCGCCACTTCATCAGGTGAAGAATACTCAACAATTTCCGTGCATAAGTTGGAACATTTAATTGTTCCGAGATTTTTTTGGTTTGATTTACGGTTACAAGCATCTTTGTAAAGCATAAAAGGATTACCCGTTTCTACCTGAGATTCTAAGATCGCATACCACAATTTTTGCGCTTTGACAACTCGAGTTGCCCGTTTTTCCTGTTCATATTTTTCATATAATGCCTTTTTTTAAACATCAGTATGATACATATAAAGTAATAAAAAGATACATCAAATTCCTCTCCATAAACATCATCCAGACCAGGTGCCTCATTAGGGCAAAATAGACTCCAATCTTGATTGGCTTCTACACGTTTCATAAACAAGTCAGGTATCCATAACCCATAAAAAAGATCTCTCGCACGAACTTCTTCTTTACCATGATTCTTACGAAGATCCAAAAAGCCAAATATATCCGCATGCCAGGGCTCTATATAAATAGCAAATGCACCTGGGCGTTTGTTTCCCCCTTGATCAACATATCGTGCTGTATTATTAAATACCCTAAGCATAGGAATAATACCGTTAGATGTACCATTGGTTCCGGAAATATAGCTTCCCGTAGCACGAATACAATGAACATTCAATCCAATTCCACCCGCTGTTTTACTAATCATAGCACATGTTTTAAGCGTATCATAAATTCCTTCAATGGAATCCTCCTTCATCGTCACTAAAAAACAAGATGAAAGTTGGGGATTCGGCGTCCCTGCATTAAACAATGTAGGTGATGCATGTGTCATATATTTCGCCGACATAAGATTATACGTTTCAATCGCTTTTTCTACATCATCTCCATGAATACCAACCGCAACACGCATTATCATATGTTGAGGTCTTTCTGCCACTTTCCCATTAATACGAAGAAGATAACTTCGTTCTAATGTTTTAAATCCAAAGTAATTATATGTAAAATCTCGATCATAAATAATTGCACTATCTAACTCATTTGCATGTTTCATCACCGTTTCATATGTCTTTAAAGAAATCATAGGAGACGGTTTATTATTTTTCGGATTAACATAATGATATAAGTCCGAAATAACATGAGAAAATGTTTTCTTCGTTTGTTTATGAAGATTAGATACTGCAATACGCGCCGCTAAAATAGCATAATCCGGATGCTACTTTTCTTTTAAAAAATTCCCTTTTCTCATTCAATAAAAATACCTTTGTCGTCATATATGCTGCTGTTTCTGCTGCTAAATTATCCAGTTCTATTGTTGTTACTCCTTGATACACTCCAGAAATAACTTTCATAGTAATAGATGCCGCATCTACATGTTCCATATCTAATCCATAACATAATCTAGAAACTCTTGCTGTTATCTGTTCTTCTATTAACTTATATCTTATATTTTCAAAAATATACTTTATCAAAAGCAACCCGTTCTTTACGTCCATCTAAAATAATATTAAATATCTTCCATATAAATGCGCTTTTTTTACCTCTTTTATAAACAAACATCTCTCTGTTTCTTATAAAATTCCTATTAATTCTATAGAAAATGGATAAACTGCTATTTAATATTAAATTTCGCGTATTTTCGTGTTTAACCTGGATTATATGCGGTCACGTGGCACTGCTAAATTTATTTATATAAACGATGTCTGCTATCAACAAGAATATATTTTAAATCCGGAATACCAGCATATAATTGCTATTAATTTGGGGATTATGTTTTTATAAGAGGTTAATATAAAAGTGATTAGTTTTTGGATTAAAAGAATAAAAATAAAGGGAAAAATAGCTTAATTTTTTATATTTAAATATGGCACAAAGTCAGTTTTTTAAGATATCTGGAAAACGGTTTATGCGGGTTTTTGGAGGAGCTACATTACTTAGTGCATCAGTATATTATTTTAGAAAAGAATATGTTAATGCAGATTCATTAAAAGTTGATATTCCGAATATTAATATGTTTTCAAAAATTTTGTCACGTGAAGAGCAAATAGAGAAGCTTAAATCACATTCTAAGAATGATGGTAGTGAATATGACCTTTTGATTATTGGAGGAGGAGCTACAGGAGCGGGATGTGCATTAGATGCTACTAGTAGAGGGTTAAAAGTAGCATTAGTTGAAAAGTATGATTTCTCTAGTGGATCAAGTAGTAAAAGTACAAAATTAGTACATGGAGGTGTACGATATTTGGAAAAAGCATTTAAGGTGTGATTTTTTAAATAAAAATTTTAAAAAGAGTTAATATAATAATAATTAATTAATATATTAGAAAAATGCATTATTTTTAAATATGATAAGTTTAATTTTTTACTAATATACAGTTAGACATTAGATTGGGATCAATATGTACTTTTACAAGAGGCTTTGCGTGAAAGATTAATTTTTTTATGTAATGCACCTCATTTAGCATTTGTTTCACCAATAATGATTCCTATTTATAAGTATATATAATTATTATTATTATTATTAATTATGTTTAAAATGTTTAGATGGTGGAAAGTTCCTTATTTTTGGGTAGGGGTTAAAATATATGATTTTCTTGCTGGCGATAAAAACATGAAATCATCTTATTTCTTAACCAAAGCGAAGACTTTGGAAAACTTTCCTATGTTAAAAACTAATGATTTGGCTGGATCTTTGGTATATTATGATGGCCAACATAATGATTCACGTACGAATATTGGTTTAATATTAACTTCCGTATTATATGGAGCAAATGTTGCAAATTATGTTGAAGTTTTTGAATTTAAAAAGAATGAGGATGGGAAGATTTGTGGAGCAGTTGTTAGAGATTGTTTAACCGGGGATACATGGACAATTGCTGCTAAAGTTTAATATCCATATTTATTTAAAATATTTTAACTTTAATAGGGTGTAATAAATGCCACAGGTCCTTTTGCGGATATTTTAAGAAATCTTGATTCTTCATTAACTCCGAAAATGCTATCTTTATCATCAGGAACCCATGTAATTCTTTCTGGACATTATTCTCCTCCTAATATTGGATTTATTAATCCTAATACATCTGATGGACGTGTGATTTTTTTCTTACCATGGTATTATTATATGGATATTATATATATGTGCGTGTGTGTTGACATTGTTTAGGCAAGGAAATACTCTTATTGGAACTACCGATTCTCCTACTAAAATTTCATTTGATCCTGCTCCTAAAGAAGAGGAAATTTCTTGGATTTTGTCTGAGATTAAAAAATACCTTAATCCTGAATTTATTATTAGGAGAGAGGATGTGCTTGCTGCTTGGTCTGGTATTAGGCCTTTGGTTCATAAATCTGGTTCAAATGATACAAGCAATTTAGTAAGAAGTCATATAATAGATGTCAGTGATAGTGGTCTTTTAACTATTTCTGGTGGAAAATGGACGACATATAGACGAATGGTAGATTTATTTGTTTTCTGTTTATTTATTTAATATCATTGATAGGCAGAGGATACTATTGATAGGGCTATTAAGGAATTTGATCTTAAACCTTTTTCCGCTAAATGTTTAACACAAAATATTCAATTAATAGGGGCTTCTGGATGGAGCGATACACTTTATATTTCTTTAATTCATAAATTTGGAATTGATTTAGATATTTCAAAATATTTGTCTGAAAGTTATGGTGACCGTGCTTCTTCTGTTCTTAATATGTCAGACTTTGCGGGAAAAAGGCGGAATGTTAGAGGAATTAGATTAAGTGATAAATATCCTTTTATTGATGGAGAAGTTCGTTATGCAGTCAGAATGGAATATGCTCAAACATGTTCGGATGTTTTAGCAAGACGAACGAGGTATATTTTTTAAACAATATTAAATAAATTAAACAAGTTTAGATTGGCATTCTTGGATGTTTTAGCGGCATTGGAAGCTCTGCCTAAAGTTATTGATATCATGTCTGAGGAATTAAACTGGTCTGAAACACGTAAAGAACTTGAATGGAAAAATACAATTAAATTTTTATGTTCTATGGGTCTTTCTGAAACAATGAAAAATTTAACAAGGGCTGATGTTGAAAATGGTAATTTTTAGGGATATAGATAATATTAATTATTTTTATTTGAAGTATATAATAGTTAAAAAGTATGACGAAAGTATGTAATTTGTAGTAAATTTTATGATATTATGTTGTAACTTTTGTTTTTATAATATCCGGATATGATTTAAAATGCAATTCTGCAAATTTTATTCATACTCACTGTGTTGATTTTATTTTTTTTTAGTTTATTTTCATTAACATTTTAAATAATTACTCTTGAATACTAATTTTTATATTATAAAATATTTTATAATTTTTTAAATTATAGTGATTTAAAAAATGAATACTTTAAAAAAGTATTTAGAAATTGTAATCTAAGATAAAATATGTTAGATTTAAAATATCATTTTTGAAAATAAAATATGTAATAGCTTTTAAATTCATAAGCTTGAAATCTATAGATTAAATATATCGGAATAGTCTAATTTATATTATATTTAGAATAAGATTATATTAAAATATATAACACTAGGAATTAACATATTTTTACTTCATTTTAATATTAGATATGCAATATTAAGCTAAATGCTGGTTGATTTAAAATACAAAGAGGAAATGATGAATTTATTGTTAAGAAAAAGATTGTATTTCATCTCAATTTATTAATAAAATTCTATTATTTTATCAGATTTTATGAAAATAAAAATGTTTTAGATTAACCTGAAAAAAGGTTTTAAATTGTTTTGCATTTAATTGTTTAAGTGCTTCAATATACTCTTTAGCGATTTCTTGAGGGATGTTTACTGATGGAAAATATATGTTGTATAAATATCTTTCGAATTCTGCTTCTTTTTTTTTAAATATTGTAAATTGAAGATTTGACATTTCACTTAATACCTAAAAAAATAAAAAAAAACTCTTAAGTTAATCTAAACCTACTATAATAGCCTGAGTGTCCCTTGGATTAAATGATTGCTTTGAAGGGACTTCAAAACAAAGAGAGGAAAGCGAATGAAATATAAATTGATCAAATCCAGGAACAACTTTTCTAGTTTTAATATCACTAATATGAGACTGATCAAATGCCCATGCATCAACCATTTTATTTAAAATAGAAAAGGCAATTTTTTCTGTAGAAGGATCCGATATATCAGCAGCAAAGTGGATTATACTTCGAAGGAAAGTTTCAAAATTTGGTTGATTAACTTTAAAAATCAATAAAAAATATTAAAGTATTAAAAACTTACTATCACTCACACAAACAGTATCCAAATCATTATTCATTAATGCAAGAACAAATTCAAGGTACTTTTTTTTGAGATCATTTTGAATAATAATGTCATCTGTTCCCTCTGTAAACTCATTAAGAGATTGGAAAATTTTATTTAAAAGAGGCATAAATAAACTATTTAATATATCATATATATTTGACTAATTTAATGTTAGTTATTGAAAATCTTCATATTTTAAAACCTTAAATTTATGAATAAGGAGACCAAGAAATGGAAGGAAATCGACTAATTCGGATGTTTTACTTTCTGATAATAATCCATTTATCAAACGTGGAAATTTAGGTAACACCTCTAAATCAAGTATGTTTGTTAATCGTGCAAAAGAGAAACGTGCCTGTTAAATAATGATTAAAAAATTAAAATATAATATGATATTAACCGCTTCTCTTATTATTTCTTTATGTTTTAATGCTTCTAAAGCAACGAGTATAAGCTCACATGCCTGTAAGAAGGTTTTTGAAATAGAATCTATAGAGGGAAATTCACGAGATATATCAGGAAATCCCTTTGAAAAATTGCCAATTGCCATAATAATATGGTAAATATATAAAACATTAACGTCATTATCCCTATCACTAGAAAGATATTTTTGAAAATCTGAAAAAAGAGGTTCGAGAATAGACTATTATAAAAATTAGACTTTACAAAAAAATATAGGATTAAACATAGGCCAAAGATATTTTCTTTTCTTTACTTATTGTTTTTGTAGATATAAGTAACCCTGCAGCTTCAAAAAGATAAAATGTGCTTTCAAATAAACCTTTAATAGGAGTAATATCAGTATCAATACCATTATTGATATTAGTCTCTGGCATAGGTTCTAGTTTTATAGTCAGTAAATCGCGAATAGCTTCTAATGTAGTTTCTGAGAAATTGTCTATCCTATTTGAAAGAAGACGAAGATACTTTAAAAATAAATAAGGTGCTCTTTTTTTTATATGAGTATCATGATGACGTAGCCCACGATGATCAAGCATAGTTTCAAGAACTTTAGGAATAAGTGAAGGTTGATATTCAAAAAATGATGCATATCGAACAGCAATTTCTAAATAATGAAGTTGAACAGATGGATGAGGATAAGACGATACTTCTGAATTTATTATCATTCCAAGTAATTGTCCTAATACAGTAGGCGAATCATTATCATTATTATTTATATATGTGAAAACTTTTGTATATTTAGATTAGAAATATTAAATTCGTTATTAATATACCTTTTAAACCTTCTCCAAATGAAAATACCTCATACAAAATAAGTTCTAAATGTCTCCAATCCGCTTCTGAAAATGCTTTTTCTAACCCATTTGTGACTAAATGTAGAATGCAATTACAATAAAGATTATAATCAATAGAACTTATCATATCTTGAAAAGTATGAAGTTTTTTCCTCATTTCTAGAAACTCAGCATATTCATATGTTTTCCTATCATTTAACCAATCTAAAGATTGATCGTATTTTGTTTTCATAATCAAAGTATTTAAAATAGGTTCTAATATATTTTTTCGAGAAGACTCTATTTCTCCTACTTTCTTTTGTTTCCGGAACTAATATTAATTAGAAACATAAATATCAAGTTAATTTTAACCAAAGTCAATAATTCTGTTAATGCTGGAAAAACTGCCGATGAGGTATTATCATATTCATCAGAAAGAAATCGTAAAAGAAAAGGAATTGTGTTAAAAAGAAGTGCATCTGCTTTTAAATAGGCCTCTTTTGATAACGAATTCTATTATTAATGGTTAGTATGTATTTATTTAATAAAATTATTCACATCGCCAAATATGCAAATAAGTTCAATAATTTGACAATTGATAAGTCTTGCAAGATTCTCAGTAAAATCTGTATCTTCATTCAAATTTAGTTTATTTATGTGATCTACAATATTAAGTAAGAATATAAGTTCAAGTTTATCGAGATATTTCATTTTTTTGCTGATAATTTCGACCAAAGTTTCACATGCTATATTACGAAGTTGTTTGTCACCCAAAAGTCCAAAAACAAAAGTCATGTATGAATTATTAACAATCAAAGATATATCAATCCATGCTAGTCTTGTAAATTTATTTGATTTACTTATTTTTTCAAATTAACTTACAAATATATTTACCCACTACTTTCATACAAAGCTCGACAATATTTTTATTTATTTGCTGATATTCAATCATAAGTCTATACCATGAGTCCGTTAAATGATGTATATCATTTTGACGAATCTTGTTTTTAAGACTATTATTTCTATGAAGCTCATCGGGCTTTCTAGGTATTTGTTGATCTGCAATTTCTTCATGAATAGAAAGAAGAATTTTAAGATAGAATTCAGTAGCTTCTGGGCATGTTTTTCCTGTTTGTGATGAATCTTGTATAAGAGAAAGAATATCCGCAAAAAATGATGACCATGATGTAGTATATAATGTAATGAATACCAATGAGAAAAAATGCGAAAGTTTATTACGTAAAACTAAAATCGTTATAAAAAATGTTATAATTTAGATGTTTTACAAGGTGGATCTATAGTTTTTAACCCTATTAGAGAAAACTCTTGTCTAATCCATTCTAACATTTGGTTTTTTATAAAGTCCAGTGATTCTGGCGTTAATTCATTAATCCTATTATTAAATATAAATTTTTCATATTAAAATTTAAAAAAATTAATACCTTGATTTAATAGCATACTCCAGAACTTGTAATGAAAAAAGTCTTATCTCCTCTGATCTATTTACAAAAAATATCAATCAATCTTATTCATTATATATTTCTAAAAATTACTTTTTAGGTATTTTTGTAAAAAGTGTAAGACATATTTGCCATCCTTCTGGACAATTCTTTACTTGATCACAAAATTCAATAGCCTAATATTAATTAATATAATAGTAATAATTATAGATTTCCATAAAAGCTTGTTGTTTTAAAGAAATATCTGCGTCCGGCTGAAATACTATTTTGATTGCTTGATCAATACTTTCCTCCATTCAATCCTTTATATTATATTTTCCTCTATATCTTCTGCCAATATATTGTTCTAATTTCTTTAAATACTTTTGATAATAATAATTTAAATGAATTTTGATCTCTATCTATCTATATATATATATCTATATATCTATATATTTTTATATATAGATATATAGATATAGCACTGAATATGGTTCAAAATATATATATATTTAAGTGTTATATTTCTTATTAAAAATGTTGTCTTCCAAAAAATATTTCAAAAACTAAAAGCTTTTTTCTAGTAGTTTTTAAGCGTTTCGGAAAATGAGGGTTCAAAACAATAAAATTTGTTGATATTTAATCAATAAAAATAATTAAATAAAAGGGATTTTTATAAAATTATTGTATTTAAGCAATTTAAATTATTTTTTTATTTATTTTGGGTTAATATTGGATATAAAGTTTAAGTGAATATTGTATATATTTGGTTTCGAAAAAATTGGAGGGTTAATATGGAAACAAGAAAAAATAACGAGGAGAAACCTGAATGCTTAAAAAAAGGGCTGCGTGCGCAGCGCTTACAAGATCTTTTAGATAAGTCATTGGGGCAAACGATTAAAGCATGTAGGTAAGATTTAGAAATAAAGATGATATTTAAATGTTTATATATATAGTTATGAGCAGATTGCAAAATGTTTTCCTACATTAGCTAAGAACTCACCAGAAGTTCTTAAAAATGTTCATGAGCAGGTTATTTCATTTTTAAGAAGTTCGTGTGATGTATTTTATAAAATAACGATTAAGAAAATATATTTACTAGAAATAGAGGGAATTTTCAATTATATTTGAGGAGAGAGATGTAATTTCTAGATTAAATGATCTTGATGGACTTATAAATGATGCGAAATCTCGTCAAGAAAGGGGAGATCCGTCAACTGTTTTGTAAGAATACGTAATTTTAAATTGTAGTAAAATTAAATGTTTATTTTAGATCAGCTTTTCTATCTCCAGAGCATATTATTAATTCATATCTTTATCCTCTTATGGTAAAAGAGCATTCGGTATTAAAAAATCAGTTAGAAACTGTATTTTTTTTTCATTTTTATTTTATATTTAATATTAACTATATTTTTAGATACAAGCGCAAAATGATAATTTTTATGAAAAAATATCTTCTCAACGTGAAGAAATAATGCAATTAACTACTTTTATGAAAAAAACAATCGAAGAATTGGATCTTGCTGTACAACGTTCTATTCAAACACCTATACAAACTCTTCAAACGCAAATGGATGAAATTGTTCCAATTCTTCAGGCTGGATTATAGCCTTTATCGATATTATCTGCTTTTTTTATTATTTTAATACTTTTTCATGTTTTGTTTAAACATTGTTTTATTATAGCATTAAAACTCATGTATATATCTACGTAATATTTTGTAAATCATTTTATATTCATAATTTTAGTTGTCTTTTCCTGTTTTTTTTTTTATATTTTTCTTTATAATTGTTTACTTCGTCCGATGACAGGTCAAAATCATAAATGAAACTAGTTTCATTAAAAACCTTCTATGGCATCTTTAATAAAGCCTCATATATCTCAGGTAAACCTTTTAAATTTCACTATAAATTCACTACTAATTTTACAATTAGGAGCTTCTACTCCAATCTGAAATTTCATCTTTAGCTTCTGTATCATCAAAGGATCAGTTTTTGCAAAAAATCGAGGAACTCTTGTTTCTTAATGCTGCTCAAATGGAGCATCAACGCTTTAAACTATCTGAACGTAAATCAAATGAAATGTATGAATTAAGTTTTAGAGCACGCTTAGAGCGCGCTGAAAAACGTCGTTATGTTAGTCAGGATGCAGAATTGAGTTGCAAAAAATACAATAAAATACATTAACAATACTATAACTGTAGATTTCTGTTGCTATTTTATATATTGTAGGTTTTAACTTTTAAAAAATAACCTTTCTAATTTATTTTTTTAATGTTTTTTTAATATTCAGGTTATTATATATTGTTTTCATTATATTCATAATGTCTTATTTTTTTCTTCTCTATTAACCGTTATATACGTCAACTCACAAATCATTTATATTTATTTATTTTTATTATTATTTAGTTCTGTTATATATATATATACTGTTGATTGCCTTGTTATATAGATCTGCTCCATGATAGGGCTAACCCCTTTGCCTTTTAGCTATTGTTTTTTAATTGAGATGTAATTTAAATAATACAAAAATTTATAACATATTTTAATATAAGATCAGCATGGAGAAGCTGTCTTTAGATGAGGTTGGATGGTTTTTTGTTCAAGAATATTATACATTTTTAAATAAAGAGCCTAGAAGACTTCATGTAAGTAATTTTTCAAAAAAAAAAGGTAGTTAAGCAATTATTTATTGTTTATAGTGTTTTTATACTAAGAAAAGCACATTTGTTCATGGGAATGAGGGTGAAGTTGTTAAGCCATGTTCTGGACAGCAGGTGTGTATTTTGAAAAAATAAGAATAAAAGAAAAATATTATAAAAGTTGTTACATGTTATTTAATTATTTGAGTGTTATATAATTAAGAGTTAACATAAGTATTTTTAGGAGATTCATGAGAAAATTCTTGAACTTGGATTTTCAGATTGTAAAGTTCTTGTTTCCAATGTTGATTCTCAGGCATCGGCTAGTGGTGGAATTGTGATTCAAGTTTTAGGTGAAATGAGTAATTGTGATGGACCTAGTCGAAAATTTGCACAAACGTTTTTTTTAGCAGAACAGCCTAATGGATATTTTGTTCTTAATGATATTTTTCGATATCTTAAGGAAGATATAGATGATGTTAAATTATGTGATGGAGAATGTCATTCATATTCCTTGGATTTTAGGAATGATATGTTACCATCATGTCTTGATATTAATGATAAGACTCCTCATGTACCAGAAGAGAAATTTTCAAATATATCCATTCTTTCTCATGATAATAATTCTAATTTTCAATCTAATCAGATTTGTACAATTACCGAACCTTCACAGGAGCTTACTTCTGTTGTTTCAGTAACTGATGGCCACCATGAAATTTCTTATGAAAAACAGCCTTTGGTTTCTTCATCCGAAAAAATATCTTCAATTGAACATATACCTAGCTGTGTACAAAACAGTTCTTTTAACGCTTTAGAATCACAATCTCCTATTTATGAATCATCGACAATATCTAGACCTAAGACTTGGGCAGATCTTTTTGATAAACCACCCGTTCATGAAAACAAAAAAGCACCTTCTATAGCCAAACCGGTAACTATTTATTCGCAACCTGCTTCACCTCTTGAACGTGCTCCTGCTCGTTCTGTCTCAGGTAATTTTATTATTATTATTCTTGATTTTTATTTTTTGTATGTTTTTGTAAAAAATGTTAAGGATAGAATTTCTGAAGAAGATCTAAGACAAGCTTTATCTAAGTTTGGGATTGTTCATTGTATCGAACTTAAAAGAGAAAAGGTTGATTTATATCTATCTATCTATCTATCTATACTTATATATTAATATTAATAGAATTGTGCTCTTGTTTATTTTGAAACTGCTGCTGCAGTTGCTTCTGCAATTGCTGCAAGTTCAGTAAAAATTAATAAGGATACTATATTAATTGAAGAAAGAAGAAATAACTATGATAGAAGTAGAAATATTAATGGAGAACGTCGTACGACTGGACGAGAATATACAAAATATAGCGATGAAAAAAGAATAGGTAATGATAGACGTGGATATGTAAATAAAGATAAAGGACATGATAAGAGATAATCATTTTTTATGTATCATTTAAACTGCTATACATGCCATTATATATTATTTTTTTATATAAGAGAGTATATATGTATATATACTTTTTTGTGCGTATTATATATTTTTATATCTTTCTAATCTTGTATATAATTATCAAAATTAAATTTTTATATAGAAATATTTTATTTAAAACTATTTTATCTTATAAATATCTTTTATTAAAAAATACTTGAATCTATAAATATTATAATCCTTATCTATCTCTTTGTTTATATGTTATCTGGTGACTATTTATTAATTATATAAACAAATACTATATTTATATATATTATTATTCCTATTGATACATTAATTTCTATAAAACTAGATAAAATCTATTTCTAATATGTATTCTTTATTTTTTAATTTATTTAATTTATTTTTTTATCTTTTTTCTGCTATTTGGTTATCCAGATTGCTAGATGTTTCGAGCAAGTTCTAACCTAACCCGACTTGTATGGATCCTTGGAGAAAGTTATAAAAGGACGCGGAGAACTGAAAATCAACTCGATAAAGACAATATAGAAGAAATTGGTAAGAACAATGGCACAAGTTGAAGAGTTTCAGTTTCAAGCAGAGATTTCTCAGTTAATGAGTTTGGTATGTAAATAAAAGAGTCTATTTGAATGAAACAACGTTTCATTCAAATAGATTAGCAAATATATTAAGTTATTTTATGATATTAATCGGTATTAGATCATTAACACTGTATATTCTAACAAAGAAATCTTTTTGCGTGAACTTATTTCCAATGCATCAGATGCGTTAGATAAGATTAGATATCAATCACTTTCAAATTCATCAGTACTTGATACTGAAAAGGAACTTTTCATTCGTTTGATTCCAGATAAACAAAATAAAGTCCTATCTATTCGTGATTCAGGCATTGGTATGACGAAGGCGGATCTTGTTAATAATCTTGGGACTATCGCTAAGTCAGGAACAAAGGCATTTATGGAAGCTGCTATGAGTGGTGTTGATATTTCTATGATTGGACAATTTGGTGTTGGGTTTTATTCTGCATACCTTGTTGCCGATAAGGTTCAGGTTATTTCAAAACATAATGATGATGAGCAGTATATTTGGGAGTCTTCTGCTGGTGGAAGTTTTACAATAAGAAATGACACAGAAAATCAACCTCTTGGTCGTGGAACAGAGATTCGTCTTTTTATGAAGGAGGATCAGCTGGAATATCTTGAAGAAAGAAGAATTAAAGATATTGTTAAAAAGCACTCCGAATTTATCAGTCATCCTATTGGTCTTGTTCTTACGAAAGAGGTTGAAAAGGAGGTTTCTGATGATGAGGCCGAAGAAATTGATGTCGATACTGATGCTGATAAAGCTACTAAGATTGAGGAAGTAGATGACGTGTCTGAAAAGAAGGAGAAAAAGGTTAAAAAGATTAAAGAATCAAAGCAGGATCTTGAGGAACTTAATAAGACTAAGCCTTTATGGATACGTAATCCTTCTGATATTAGTACGGAAGAATATGCATCTTTTTATAAAGCATTGTCAAATGATTGGGAAGATCATCTTGCTGTTAAGCATTTTTCGGTTGAAGGTCAACTTGAATTCCGTGCTATTCTTTTTGTTCCAAGAAGAGCGCCATTTGATCTTTTCGAGTCCAAGAAAAAGAAGAATAATATCAAGTTATATGTTCGACGTGTCTTCATTACTGATGATTGTGAGGACTTAATTCCTGAATGGCTTTCCTTTATTAAGGGTGTTGTCGATTCCGAAGATCTTCCTCTTAATTTGTCTCGTGAGATGCTTCAGCAGAATAAGATTCTTAAAGTTATTCGCAAAAATATTGTCAGACGTACTTTGGATCTTATATCTGAGATTTCCGAAGACAAAGAGAATTTTACCAAGTTTTATGAAGCATTTGCCAAGAATCTTAAATTGGGTATTCATGAAGATTCTCAGAATCGTGCAAGACTTGCTACTTTCCTCAGGTTCCCTTCTACCAAGTCTGGTGACGAGCCAACATCATTAAGTGATTACATTACAAGAATGCCTGAAGTACAAAAGAACATTTATTTCATTACTGGCGAGTCTTTAGCTTCTGTGTCATCCTCCCCATTTCTGGAAATCTTTAAGCGGAAATCCTTTGAGGTTTTGTTCATGGTGGATCCTATCGATGAATATGCAGTTACTCAGTTGAAAGAATATGAAGGGAAAAAGCTAGCTAATATTACTAAAGAAGGGCTAGAAATTGAAGAAACCGAGGAAGAGAAGAAAGCACGTGAAGAAGAAACTAAGCAATATGATGAATTATTGCAACATGTTAAGGAAATTTTAGGCGATAAAGTCGAAAAAGTTGTTTTATCCTGTCGTATTACTGATAGTCCTTGCGTTTTAGCTACTGGACAATTTGGTTGGAGCGCAAATATGGAGCGAATCATGAAAAGCCAGGCTCTTCGGGATCCAAGTATGTCTTCTTATATGGCATCTAAAAAAACAATGGAACTTAATGCTAACCATCCTATTATCAAGGAGTTGAAAGCTAAAGTTGCCGCTGATAAGAATGACAAAACCGTTAAAGATCTTGTGGTTTTGTTATTCGAGACGTCTCTTCTTACATCTGGATTCTCTCTTGAAGAGCCTTCAAATTTCGCTTCTCGTATTACTCGATTAATTTGTGTCGGACTGGGTATTGATGATTTTACCGAGGTTAAAGATGAAGAGATGCCTGCTCTTGAGGATGCTACTACTAATGATACTACTTGCAACTTGGAGGAAATAGATTAGGTCGAATCAGAATTGATGCAAAAATTGCTCTTTTTTTTGCTGTTAAGAGTATTCTTTGGCTACAAAGATGTGCATAATTTTATCGAGATTTAAAAATTAGTATATTTAGTTTATAAATTTTGGTAGATTTTTATAGATTAGAAAATATATTTGACCATTCTATATTTTTGCTTCAAAATTCTTATTCCTTCTATTGTGTTTTTAAATACGAATTCCATCATTTTCTTGATCTTTTAAATATATTTTAAATTTTAGAATAGTCGAATATAAAAAATTATGTATCTTATTAAGATTTATATTTTTTAATTAAACTACTGGATAATATGGATTTTCTGGATCTTGATGCTGATGCCAGAGTTCAGTCCACAAATGATGATGCATTAAGTAGTAAATGGTAGGTTGGTTTATACATTTTAAATATTTAATTATATTATAAAATTTAATTGGTATTTTAGGTCTGCTGTACAAGCAGGATATTTTGATGATCCTTATATTAAATATATGATAAAAGATAAAATAAAAGTAAAAAAGCCTCCAATTATCAATAGGGGTATTAGTAGAGTTATTTATAATGGTATTTTTGGTTAATTTTCAGGTACTTATATAAGAACAATGGTTATTGATAAATTCATAAATTCGTTTTTGGAATTTGTAAATCCTTTAGAAAAAAAGCAGATTATTTCATTTGGCGCTGGATTAGATACAAGATATTTTAATATTATGGTAATTTATGTATTTTTTTAAGAATATCATTCAAGGGTATAAAGTCGGCTTTAGGCAAAACTACAAACTTTATTTTCCATGAATTGGATTTTTCTGCAGTTACTCAACGCAAAGTATCTATTATTTCTAAAACTCAAGTACTTCTTGATATTATTAAATCATCATGTGATACACCTGATGATTTAGAAATAAGTATAGAAATAGTAAGAGAAAAAAGGATTCTGATTTCAAAAAGATTTACATGATGGGACTATATTATCACCGAGTTATTGTATTCATCCAATTGATTTGAGAACTCTCACATCAATACCTTTACCTTCTAAAATTGATAGTAATCTTCCAACGCTTATATTATCTGAATGTTGTCTGGTATATCTTGAGCCTCAGGAAGCGGATCAATTGATGCAATGGTCTGTAAATACATTTTCTTCTAAAGGATTGGGAATTGTTATATATGAGCCTATTAAAAATTTTGATTTATTTGGTAAAATGATGGTTAAAAATCTTGCAGTAAGCTTCTATCTTTATTTTTAATATATTCTTAAGAATTTAGTCTAGAGGGATTAGTTTTAAGACTTTAGATAAGTATTCGACGATAGAAAAGCAATGTGATAGACTTTCTAATCTTGGATTTACTAATTATCAAAATGCTGTTACTATAAAACAAATTTATGATGAATGGCTTGATTATTATGATAAAATGAGGTAATATATATATATATATATTAAATCAATAATCTATTAAGAATTTCGAAAGTAGAACTTCTAGATGAAATAGAAGAATGGGATTTGCTTGCAAGTCATTATTGTGTCGTATGGGGATGGAAAGATGAACATGAAAATAATTATTTTAATGAATGGGGTAAATTCTAATTTAAAGTTTATGTTTAATTATTACATTGAATATCTGATACCTATATTTATTTAAATTTATTTCCATCTCAAAAATAAAGATGAATTCATAAGGAAAATACGTTATTATTAACAATATTTTACAATAGATAATGAATGAAGATAAGGAATTTGTTGGATTTTTGTATGAGGATTTCTATAGTTATTATTTTGAATGATCTGATAATAATAAGTATAAAAAAGAAATGACAGAAGATATGTTTTTGGGATAAAAAAAAGTCATGAAGGTCAAAAATTGAAGATAAATATATAAAAATATCTTATTAAAGAACATTTTGGATGTTTTATGATGTATTAGATTCTTTCAAAAATACCTAATCCTATTCCTTGGCCTTCTAAAGAGTAATATTATTTAAGAAATTATCAAAAATCTCTTGATTATATTAATGATCTTTTAAAGTCTAAGGATCCTAATCTTAAAGGCTATTATGAACTTTATGAAAGAGGGAAAACAAATGAATTATTTAAGAAATAAGTGTCTTGAAAAGCTATTGTTAACTTAGTCTTAATAATAAGCTTAAGTATGGAATTAATTTTATTATTTTTTAAAACGACACTTGTATATGTTTTATATTTATTATATAATAATGATTTTATAAGGTAAAATAAACTGTTTTTACCATCTTTTTTTATTATTGAATTTTTAGAATTTAATATAAGTTTATCTTTTTTATAAAGTATTTTTTATAGAAATAAAGTGTAAATGAATGTTATATTTGTAAATGATTGATAATTAATAAATATATTAATTATAGCTTTTTAATAATTATACTTATTTTTAAAATTAAATTTAATGGTTATGGGTTAAAATAATTAGATATAATATTAATTTTTTGTTAGATAATAATTTTGTTTTACATTATATTTAAATAATATATTGATAATAAAAATAAAAGTCTTTTATTCTGAATTTTGGTAATAAGTTGATTTTTATATTTTTTTGAAAGATGGAATTAATGATTTTGCATTAATGGAATTTTTGGTTTTTTTTAAATTTTAAAATAGAATTTTTATAGTTACTTTTGTAGATAAATAATATAATTTTAATATGTACAGTATTAGAATCATTAAATTTAAGATTTTGATCACAAAATATCTTATAAATATTTTTAAACAGTTATGAAATTAAAATTTATATTCATAATTTTTATATTTATTAGTAATTATGAAGATACTATATTTGTTATAGCTCAATTAATTGTTTTATTTATATATTCTTAATTTTATTAATTTCAAATAAAGAATAAAAATAAGATTTAAAGTTATATAATTTAAATATAATGTAAAATTCAGAAATTAATATTTAAAAAATAAATTGTTAATATTTTGATTAATAATATAATTGAAAATCATGTTTTAGATGCCTTTTTATATTTAAAAAAGTGAATAACTTATATTTCTAAAAGTTACCTATTAATATGATAGATTTAATTTTTATAGCAAAAAAGTGTATATTTAATAAAGTATATTAATGAATTAAAGAATTTAGGTACATATAAATAAAATTACACGAATATAAAATGATTAGAAATTCTATCCTATTATTTTAAGAGTGCTTTTTTTGGAATTATATATATCCTTAGAATATATCATTTAAAGTCACTTGTATATTTTTCTCAAAATATTTCAAATAGAATTCTTATACAGATGGAATTTGAAAAAAAGAATTTAATTATTTTAAATTATTATATCAGAATGATAGCTTTTTATATGTCTTTTTAGATCATAATCCTTTAAAAATTGCCATTTACATCCCTGAACAAGACATGAAATGTCTCTTCCAGTTCCTGAATAATCGAATCCTGTTAAAAGACTTACTGGACTAATTTTAGTTGGTACTTTTGAATTTATCTTTTTTGTATCATTTTCTTCGAATTGATTATGAACATGTAATTGGTGTGCTATCAATAACTTTTTGTATCCAAACTTCATGTCACAGTTATCAATATTACATACAAATTCCTTTTTATGTTGATGAACAATTTCGATATGTTTTTGAAGGGCAAAAGACTATGATTTTTAATAATATATATAAAATATACAAAAATATTACCCTCGTAAAACCTTTCTGGCAATTATCTATAGAACAATGATATAATCTCCTTTCTTCTAAACTTTTTTCATGAACTTGTAAATGAATTTTTAATTGAGTATTTGACGTAAATTTCTTATTACATATTTTACATATCACTGAATGATCATTTTTTAAATGTTTTTGTAATAATGATAACTTCGAAAACCCCTCTTTTTGATCACAATCTTCTATTTCACAGAAATAGCTTGCAACTGGTACATGAATACGAGATATATGAGAGTTAAGTTTAGATCCTGTGTCAAATGACTTTTTACATTCTTCATATTTACAAAGAAACGGTTTTTTATGTGTATGTGTGTTAGCAATATGGATCAAAAGCTGATGATGTTTATGAAATTCCGCTTCACATGGCGGATATTTGGTACACTAATAAAATGAACAAATCTTCACCAAAAAAAAATATATAAAAACCTTATAAGGCGTCTCTCTAAGATGAATAGCTTCATGTCTCTTTAAATGCTGGTTTGTATTAAACCTCGCCATACAGTCTTTAAATTTACAAAAATATGGTCTCTCATTAATATGTGAATGAATATGCGCTTTCAAATGCGACTTTCTAAAAAAAGCCTTTTCACACCCTTTATAGTTACATACAAATGGTCTCTTTTCCTTATTAATTCATGTATAATATTCATCTTATATACTACCTCTCCCGTATGTGATCTTATATGTTCCTCGATACGACATGGCTTAGAATAGGCCTTATTACACCCTTCAAATGTACACTTATATGTCTTTTTCTGCCTCTTTTTATCCTCTTTTTCCTCTTCATTTGGCCTCTTCGCCTCTCTATTTTTTTCCTCCAATTTTTTAACAAAGTCTATTTCTAAAAACATTTCTTAAGATTTTTATATTTTTTATTAAACTTATTAAAAATATTTTTACCCCCATTATTTTTACGGATATCATGTCTTTTTATTAAAAAATCGTTTAAAATGTCGGATTATGGGAGAGATGACGGGAACAGGTCTGGTTGTCCTATATTTCTCGTAAAATAGATTGGTTAATGTTATATAGATATGACTTTGATGAACCAACATTAGAAGATGAAGACTTTTTACCGTTGCCAGATGAGGGAATTGATGAGAGTTTAGATGAGATAAATGAGGAGGAGATTGGTGGGACGATGGGGGAAAATGGTCCGGGTGACCATGAAGTGGATATGATGGAGGGTAATGAGTCGAGAACCAGGTTTTCAGGAAGCCGAGGAAAAGGAAAGGCAGTTCTTCCAGAAAACAGGGTGACGACGCCGTATATGACGAAGTATGAGAAGGCGAGAATTTTGGGTACACGTTCTCTTCAAATAAGGCAAATAAGAAGAAATTAAACGGGAGTGTTATGGATTAACACATGTAGTATGAACGCACCGGTATTAGTAGATCTAGAGGGGGAGACCGATCCTTTACAGATTGCTATGAAAGAGCTAAGTCAAAAGAAAATACCATTACTTGTTCGAAGATATCTTCCGGATGGGAGTTATGAAGATTGGGCAGTAAGCGAATTAATTACAGAGTAAATGATGATATTTAAGGAAAAAAAAACAGAATGTAATATAGAAAGAAGAAGTTGAAAATAGGAAATTGTAAATAAATAAAAGGAATGCATGGTTATAATTATGTAAATAGGTAAAATAAATAAACAACTATAATTTTGGTTAAGTTAATTTTTTTTATCTTCTAATCCAGCAAGAGCATCGACTAGATCTTGGTATTGAACAAAATTTCCATTGACAAACCTTTTAAGAGCGTTATCTACTTGTTGTTCAGACATTCTTGAGCCCATAGTCATAAGAGCGTCTTTTAAGTCATATAAGTTCACTTTTCCGGAATTATCTTCATCAAAAGTTTGAAATGCTTTTATAATATCTTCTCTTTGAGATATTTCTGAAAGATGCATTGAAAAAAATGTAAGATAAGTTGCAAAATTCAAAGGACTTGGCATAAGACTTAACATATATGAAAGATCTGATGATGTTGGATTTTGACCTTTAAATTTCTTAATCCTCAAAAAATATCATCTACCTATATATTACCTAAAGAAACAAACATTGCTTCAAGATCTTCCTTAGTGATTATACCATTTCCATCCTTATCTAACAAAGTAAATGATTCTTTAAATTCTAAATAATATTAATTAAAAAAATAAAATATATAACTATTCCAAATTCACCATTGATCTGTGCTGACGTTAACTGTGTAAATACACCTGATGATGAACGTGTTTTTAATTGATGAGTTGGTGAGTTATAATAATCATTTGAATATGATTTTCGTAGATTTTCTTTATTTTCCTATAGATTATTGTCTTAATACTTTTAACTGTTTCTTATATTAAATACCATTATTTTTCTTTAATATTTAAACTATTTGTTTCTAAAGTTTACTGTTATATTTATATATTGGACTTTAAGAAATATTAACGTCGTTTTATTATTTTAATGCTTTGAAAATAAGAAAATGAGTAAATGGAGGGTTTGCAGTACTTTAGGATTTAATTTAAGTCTTTACAGCTATAAAATGAGTTTATTTTGTTTTCATAAGACATCAAATTTTGAAATAAAACGATGTGATAAGTGGGTTAGATTTATGACGACACATTCTACAATTAATAAGAAAGAAACAAAATTAATGAAGAGATTTTTTAGTTCAAACATTATATTTATTGTACTTCTTATTATTTTGGGATCTCAAGCGAATAATATTTTATTTATTAAGCAGGAGTTTAATGAATTTGAAGCAGAAATAGATGCTAAAATATCTCATTTACGAGATATTATTGATCGTATTCAGAAAGGAGAAAATCTGGATATTTCTAAGGAACTCGGTACAGGAGTTGATGAAAAGGAAAAAGAATGGTTTAAAGGTAAAATTTTATGTTTTATAGAAAATGAATTTATTTTTAAGTTATAGAACAAGTAATTAATCAAGATGAGCGATGGGAACGAATTAAATAAAAAAGAGGGGAAAGAATTGATTATAATATTAAAATCGAGGACTTTTTTATGTATAAGTTTTAATTATTTAACTATTATTTGTCATTTGGGTGTTTTGTAAATATTTGGGATTTAAAATGCTTTTCTTAAGTATTTCTAAAGTTTTGAGCATTATTTATAGTTATTAATTTTATAATATTTTGTTAAAATTAATATTCTTTCATAGTCGATGTTATAAGATAGATAGGAATTTCTGAAAAGTTTTCATTATGTTTGTAATATTTAGGAAATAATATTTAAAAAGGTTATATATAAGTAAGTTAATAATATTATATTTTTGCAAGTTTTATCTATTTAATAGATATTAATATATAAAAAAATGCTATTGATTTGAAATACAAAAATTACAATTATTAAAAATAGTTGTGTTATTATAAAGATATGTATTCAAGGTATATTTAGCATTTTGGATATATTTTTTGTAAGTATTAATTATTAAAATAAGTATTATTAAAATAAGTATACATATTAATTTTTTGTTATAGGTTAAATTTCATAGATAAAATTAGAAATATTAGAGATATGAGTATATAGTAGAAATATGTAAAAAAGTAAATTACAGAATTTAATATAGTCTCTAAAAAAAACTCTATATCTTATTATGCAATTGAGTATTTAGGAAAAATGAATGTAGATAATGAGCATAAATACAAATATATATATATATAAGTGTTGGCAGAACTGATTTCTAACCTTTTAACAAATCGAGGCCAGTGCCCAGTATGTGCCATATTCTATATGCAGGTAATAAATACATATAAACTATATTATAAACGTAGAAATGTATAAAAGATATACTTTATAAATACCATGCATTCTGACTAATGATTTTAAATTCATTACTCATTATAAATTATTAGGGCTAAATATAGGGTTTATGCTAAAGGCTTGAATAAAATGCCATTTTTTATAGAAAAAAAAAATTAGATTAAGGATATTTGTGTTATGTAATAAGAAATAATATGTTGTTTTTATTAATTCATTATATATAAATTGAAATTTTAAGATATATATTTTTGAAATTTTAAATATTGGAATTTTTGATTTTTATTTAAATATTTAAGAATAAAATATAAATGTTTTGAATTACTTGTTCTTTTTAATAATATTTATGATTTTAAATATATCATTTAATTATTTAATTATTTAAAAATATAGGCTTTTATGATAAATTTTGTAGATGCGATATTTATCAATGATTAATACTATAAATTCATAGAAATTTTTCGTTTTTATAACTATAATGTTTTAAAAGGCTTTATATCTTCTATTTTAAATAAATGTCTTCATTTTTAAAATAAATATCTTCAATTTTTATCAGTCTATATCTTAATACATATAAAAATTCGTCTTAATTATATAGATATCTAAAAATAAATATATTATAGAAATATTCTAAAAGAATATTTCTATAATTTAATCAATTGATCTAACTGAACTACATTCTTCTAAATAGTATAAATCTTTCTAAAATAATGTTTTATGAACAATACTCTTCTCTTCTAAAAAATAAATATTATGTTTAACATCTTACAAAAAATCTTTAATCATATATATGTACATATTGTATTTACAAATAAAACAAAAATATTATACAAATATTAATAAAAAGTTATTTAAGATATAAATCGTAAGATGAAAAGTTAATCGGAACTAAAATGGGTGAATCACAGAGAAGGGCTTCTAAGTTAGAAAAGCCTCAAGGTAAGATAATAATATTGAAAAAAAAAGCTATAAATAGGGGGGGAGAAGCTTTGATATTGATAGTTTTTATTATTGTATTTCTAAATAGATTTAGGTGTCGATCTTTATGCCCGTTATGCTTTTTCTGGGGCAGTATGTTGTGCAGTAACACATGGAGCTCTTACACCCGTTGATGTGTATAAGTTTTCTGAATATAGATGAATATATATGACATTTATAATAGAGTTAAAACACGAATTCAACTTGAACCAACTGTTTATAAAAATATGGTAGATGGATTCCGACAAATTGTTCGTAATGAAGGGGCAGGCGCTCTTCTTACAGGTTTCGGACCCACAGCAGCTGGTTATTTTCTTCAAGGAGGTTTTAAGTTTGGTGGTTATGAATTTTGGAAGCAGTACGCTATTAATTTTTTTGTAAATATATATATATTAAAATTTGCCTTTTTTTATTGGATTAGGGGATTGAAACTGCAACAAAAAACCGTACAGCTATATATCTTGGATCATCTGCAATTGCGGAGTTTTTTGCCGATGTTGCTCTTTGTCCACTTGAAGCAACTCGTATTCGTCTTGTTTCACAACCTACGTTTGCAACTGGTCTTGTTTCTGGATTCCTTAAAATCTTGAGAAATGAAGGTGCTTCGGCTTTCTATAGTGGATTTGGTCCTATTTTATTTAAACAAATTCCATACACTATGGTATGGTTTATAAAATAGATAAAAACATTATTTACTTTATAGGCCAAATTTGTTGTTTATGAACGTGCAGCTGAAATGATTTATTCCTGCATACCAACTCCTAAGAATTCACTTTCTTCTGGTGCTAATACTTCAATTAATCTTGCATCCGGGTTGGCTGCTGGCATTGCTGGTTTGTTCTATTTTTATAAATTTAATTCTCTTACGTTTTATTAGCTGCTATTATTTCTCAGCCTGCTGATACTCTTCGTTTGGTTCCTTTTGTATTTGTTAATATTTATTAATTTATTTAGTTTCAAAAATTAATAAGGTTGAAGCATTGCCTGGTGAGACTACTTTGTCCCGTCTTTTTAAATACGCTAAAGAGCTTGGAATTCGTGGTTCATTTACTGGACTTGGTGCTCGTGTCGTTATGGGTAATCTTTTTTTCGTTTTTTTTGATATTTTCTTATATATATAGTTGGAATTCTTACTTCTGGGCAATTTGCAATTTATGGTGATATTAAAAAGGTTTTTCTTCTTTATTTTTTTATCTTTTATAACTTAACTTTTAGGCTATTGGTGCCACTGGAGGGGTTGAAATATATCCCTCAAAATAATGTATTTTTAATTGCTCTTTTAAAATCAATTGTACTCTTAATACTAAGTAGTATGTTTTAACTTGATAAAAAGTACTTTTTTTTTAATTATAAAAAATTATTAACATATATATTATTCTCTTTTTCTATATATCCTGTCGGTCATCTAACCTCTTGGTTTGAAGCTTGTTTTTCTATTATTTCTTTTAGATAAATATTTCTACTTAATATGAGAGGATATTTTAGATAAAATGGATAAAACACATGAAAATGAGGAGTGTCATGTTGGATTTTCAATATCTCCGTTTGATGATGAACATGTAAATCCTTTTGCAGATGCAGTTTCTCTTGGAAGAAAACTACCAGATGAGCTAGAAAATATAGAGAAATCAAGGACTCCTTCGTGCAGTAATTACTCTAAGATTTGATATGTTATTGAAGCGTTCGTAATATATTTTAGGCGAGAAATCAGATCAAGATGTATCTTCTAAGTCATGGTTTACACCAAGTAAATCGCAGCTTAATGTACCTTCTTTTCGTAGTTATAGTACCTGTCGTAGTCCTAGATCATATTTGCAGAATGTCGAACTGGATTATGATCCATTAAGTTACCTTAATGATACTGGTTCTGCAAATATAGATTTTTCAAATGATACCACTCATATATCATCTTTAACTGTTTTAAACGAGAAATCACCATTGATTAATAAGATGAAAAACATTAATTTAGATGGTAATATATATATAAATATATGAGGTATTAAAAAGTACATTATCTAATATTTTGAAAGAGTCGCTACATACATCTTCAGAGCAAAGTAATAAAGTTGCATTTACTGTTTCTGTGGGAGATCCTCGTATTGTTGGTGATATTGCTTCTGCTCATACTGTATATAAAATATTTACATGTGTAAGTGGTGTTATTTTTAAATGATAAATATATTTTTCTAATTTTATTTCTTAGATAACAACTAATGCATCTAAACCAATTGAATATACTGTTGATAGACGTTATAAAGATTTTCTTTGGCTTTACAATTCTCTTCATTTGAACAATCCTGGTGTTATTGTTCCTTCTCCTCCTGAAAAACAAGCTGTTGGTATAAACTAGTTTTTCTTTATATGAAATTATATTAAGTTTTTTAGGACGATTTCAGGAGAATTTTATTGAATTTAGGAGGCATGCTTTTGAACGTATGCTTAGAAAGATAGTTGCTCATCCTATTTTGCAAAATGATGCATGTGTTAAAATGTTTTTGGAATCTGATACATTTTCTGCAGATGTATATTCATTTAGATATATCTATTTGAGGATAATTGTTTTTTATAGATTAAAGTTAAAGAGAAAGTTCCCGCTCATGAAAGTAAAGGATTTATTAGCTCTATTGGTGAAGCTTTTACTAGGGGTGCTTTTAGTGGAAAATATGTAGAACAAGATGATGTAAATTAAAAGTTTAAATTATTTTTTAAACTAATTTTTAGTGGTTTAATGAGCAAAAGCAAATATTCGATTTATTAGATGCTCAATTTAAAGGGATGTCTAAAGCTATTGATGCTGTCGTTAGACAGAAAAAAGGTTCAGATTTTATGAATGATGTTTCATTGTCTTATTTTATTAGATCTTGCACAAACAACAGGGGACTTTGGACTTGCTTTATCAAATTTGTCTAATATAGAATTGGATGAATCTTTATCTCTTGCTTTGGTATCTTTCTCTGATCTTCAGATAAGAATAAAAGAATTTTATGAACGTCAAGCTCAGCAAGATATTTTGATTCTTGGGTGTATGGTTGATGAATATATTAGACTTATTGGAAGTGCTAAACATGCATTTTCTTTAAGGCAAAAAGCATATTTAAATTGGCAAGCTGCAGAATCTAGTTTAGCTAAATCTCGATTAGAAAGAACTAAGGGTCAAGGGAAATTTCAACAAAGTTGTTCATCTGAATCTTCTATTGATATTTTAGATGCCGAAAAACGTTGTGATCAATTAAAATGCGATTTTGATAATATTAGTAATATTTTGAAAGAAGAAATTGAGAGGTTTGAACTCGGAAAAATAGAAGATTTTCGTGGTAGTGTAGAAACTTTTTTGGAGTCAGTAATTGAAGCGCAAAAAGAGGTATATTTTAAAATTGTTTTTAATATAATTCTAATTAATCTTTTTTAGCTTATTGAATTATGGGAAACATATTTGACTGAATTAGAGAAGAAAACTGAAGTATCTGATGACTGACTTTATTTTAATAATATTTGATTATTATTCATATTTAACTGAATTAAACGGCTATATTGTTTAATAATATACAATTTTCAAAATTAAATATAATATATTTGATTGCAGGATTTTTGAATTTTATAATTACATATATATATGTATATATGTATGTATGTATTTGTATTTTAAAATAAATATTAAACATGTATTGTATTATGCAATGTTATACTTTGTTCCAAATCTTTGTTTGAATTTAGAAAGTCTACTCTCTTTGTCGCTTTCATCAATTTGTCGTTTTTTATTTGGATTCCATAATGGATGGTTTCGCTGATCTTTTGTAATCCAAATAATAGGTTTTGGTGATGTAGTAGGTATTGTAAATGTACTCTTGTCTGATAATACAACTATTTGCTGAAACTGTCTTGGTCTTGCTAGCCTTTGAGTAATATTTCTTACTCCATAATTATTTATTTGCTGTATTTTTTTACACTTTAAATATTTATATCTGATTATATTCATTTTCCTATTAATAAATGATTATAAATTTTATTTTTCTTGTAATATTTTGTATATACTTTTAAATATTCTTAAATCTTATAAAAACATATATTTTTTACTTTTATTAAGTTTAAATATTTAAAGTTATTAAAAAAATGAAATAATAAATTAAAAATATTTATTAAATATTTGTATATATTTGTATTTCTATTGAGATATTAATATATTTATAATTTTAAAATTCGCATTATTCAAGTTTAAATGTCTGTCTATTAATTTTTTTAATATATATATTAATAATAATATACTTTTATAAAGAATTCCTTCTTTTCTATTAGATAAACAATTCTCCATGTCTTGAAAGTAACATTATATTATTGAAATAAAATTAATTTGAGTTTTCCATAATAATATGACATTTATATAAAAATATATAGCCTAGTCCTTTTTAATTAATCTAAAATCCCCTTGACAATATGATAATGACATCTTCTCATATACATCTATATTTTCCACATATTCAACTGTTCCAAACCAAATTTTATGATCTCCAATATTTATTGTTTTATATGTATTACAATAAAGAATCCCAAGAACTCCTGATAAAATAGGAAGTTCATTCAATGATTCCTTACAATGATTTTTTGAAATATTAGATATTTCATTCTCATTAAATACCCTGTTTTGTGCATATTCTTGTGCAAGCTTGATTTGATCACAATGAGATTTTAATACATGAACTGCAAATCTTTTGGACTTTCCAAGAAGATATGCCATACGTGATGGCAATTTTATACTGAATGATACAATAGGCATAGGATTAATAGAAATAGATGAAAATGATGATACTGTTATAGCTCGACCCATGCCATTAGTCTTAAGATCATTTGTTGTAATAATAACAACTGGTTGAACAAGGCATTTCATTAGATTTTGATAATCCTTTTGGATTTCTGAAATTGATACCTTTGGAAATACTGTTTTTTCTTCATATGTTGATTTACTTCTGAAAAAGCTTAAATATTGTCCTTTTTTCTTAATATATGATATATCCCCTTCTTTCCCTACTATTTTCCCATGTTTCCTAAGCAGAAACAGGCTTTTTTGGAGACTTTTACACAGATATTCTGGCAACATAGGTTTTTTTACTATACAAAAATATTTAGGGCGGGTTATAAATTCATGAAAATATCTGGAACAAGAGCTTTTAGCACTTATAAGGCTTGTTTACGCCTTAAGGTTTATGACTACATTGATAAACTGGTACCTTTGTTAAAGGAACCTGCTTTAAACAGCTTTAAAAAGCCTTCTGTTTTAAATAAGAACTTAAGGATTAAGAAAACTAAGATTAAGAAGAAACGTCTACAGGATGAGGTTTTAGATGAGGATTCTTATAAATGGGATAGAATTCTTAGAGGAAATCCTTATGGTATTTTTAATTGAGAGATATTTACAATAATAGCTAATTAACAAAGTTAAATTACTTATATCACCTATACGTAGGGATATATTGACGGATGCACGGCTACCATCAGGTATTATTTATGTTTAGTTTTATTATGGTTAATGGATCAGGATTTTTTCTAAGTTTTTTGGCATGTAAAGATTCAGAAACAAATAAAATATGGATTTTACCAAATGGATTAAGGCATAAGGTGGTAAAAAAGGTAGGACAGAGTAGATGGATGAATTGTAATAAGAAACATATAAAATATGTGGGAATGAAACATTGGAAACGTATACTTATTGATTTTGCACCAGTAGATGCAATATGGAGAAGTGATATGGAAGAATTTGTTTTAAAAGAACTTAGAAAAAAAGTAATAATAGAGTTAAAAAGAATTGAAAACAAATTTTTAAATATGCAGTTAATAAAAGGGAGATTTGTTGAAAATATAGAAAATGAGAAATTGAAGAAAAAAATAGGATGTATTATACATAAATTTGAAGATGATAGAATTTGGTATTTAGAAAGTATAAATGATCAAGTGTTTAAAGTGCCGGTTATTAATGTATCTATATTATTTGATTGTGATGATAATGAAAATGAATGGGTGAAGAAACTTGTATTTGAAAAAAGTACAGGTATACCATTAGAAATAAATACAGTAAATGCAATTTTTTGGATTTGGAAGCTTCGAGGTTATTTCTAGTATGGTGAATGATGTATAATTATATCATAAGTTATATCTATAATATATTTACTTCTCCAATACTTTCATATATTAGTCCATTTTGTGTCTTGCGTGCACCCATTTTAAAAATACATATTTTATCAACTGTAACGTCTCCAAAAAGAAAATGGGAAGGAAATTTGTCCATAAGAAATGATGCATTGATTGATTTTTTTTCTTTTGCATAACTTTTGTCATAGCGAGTATTTAAAATTGTTGAATGAAGCTATGTTATTAGCTGTATAATACTCAATAATATAAATATACCACCAAAAGATTAGAATCACTAAATTTTGCATCAACAAATTTTTTCATAAGAAATTCTTTAAGAAATTAACAATTAATCCTTAAACTTTCTATAGTTTATACCACACAGAGGAAAAAGTGCTGGAGATGATTCATTAAGGCTGGGTTTTAAATATACAACTTTGCAATCTGTAAACACCTCAGGAAATGTACCTAATCCTCTGAATCGTATATGAATTTTCTTATTGTCTGAAATTTTTGATATTTCATCTTTTAATGAATATAAAAGAGAAAGTGAGTTTCCTATTTCTTTATCTGAGGGAAGGTGAAGAGTGCAAATTGTCAAATGCGCAAGTAAATAGTCTCTGAATATTGATAATGGCACTTCATCAACGAGCACCTTTTTTATCTCTGTTATTGATTTTTCAAGAGATTTTGATCTTAGTGGAAGTGCAAGGAAATGTGTAGGATATCCAGTCTTCAATAATTGTAGCAATTTAAGCAGAAATGATATGATTTACCCTTTTTACGGTTTTTTTATAAAAATTTCTAGTATTTAAAGATCTTTCTTCTGTTTGTTTGTTAAACTGTATTCCAGTATAAGCTTTTCTAAAATACTAATTTATATTTTTGCTTATCTATAAATATATTTTTATTATTTATTATGAAATATAAGAAATATACCTTTATTTAAGCTTTTCATAGATGTTTTTTGTATTATCTAAGCTTGTTTTATTAATAATTTCAATATTTCTTTAAACTGTTTTTAATAATTTTTAGAAATAGGCAGTGATTTCACTTAAATATTAATAATATTATATAATAAAACTTGGAAATAATGTTATATTTTTATAAAAATAGTTATAAATAATTATAATATTAATTTATATTTTATATTTTTTCTTAGGTTATATTTAAATATAAGTAGATAAAACTATATGATTTTATTGTAATATTTGAAAAATAATTTAGAATAGATTTCTTAAATTTTGTTTAAATAATGATCCAAATAACATGTATGATCAAATATATTTTCAAAATATTTTGAGAATTTTATTTTAAATTTTAAAAAAATCTTAAATATCAAAATCTGATGTTTTAAAATATTACTTGGTATTTTATGAGGGTATTTTAATATCCTATAGATGATATTTACTCTTAATATTTTTGTTTTTTCATGACATTATTTATGAAAATAATTTGTGCTTTAATTTTTTTAAAGTGATTCTTTAAAATGTATAAACAGAGATAAAGAATGATAAGATTATTGATTATTTTTTCCGTAATTTAGATTTTTTAGAAAGAATTCTTGAAAATGCAAGTTTTTGAAATTTATTTAAATCATTAATAAAATGTTGACCAGCCTAAATATATTATTTTAGAAGTATAAGTATATTAGATTTACTATGTGGGAATCAAGCCTCTCTAAAAGCTCTGCTACTGCAAATTGTACTTTTGTATTTGGATGAAATAATCCAGCAGCAATTGGTGCTAACCCTCCTTGTAATCGTGGAAGATAACAAAGTAACTTTAATTATTTTTAATTTATACGAATTTATATTATATAATTCTTACTTGACTTAGTTCATCTGTAGTACGAACGTTATCATTTAATGTTATATAGATGGCTTCTGCATCTTCGTAAGATATGTTTCGTAGAATTTTTAGTCGATTCAATTGATGTTGTAAACAAAATTTTTTTTCAATAGGTATATTATTAAATACAATAAGATCCTATAAATTCTAGTTAACGTATCGAAAGAGTTATTTCCTTACCTCTATATAATATTCGTAAGATGTTGTGTTTCTCCATCCTTCAAATCGTGGCATGTTTAGATATAAATCCCGCATTTTTTGTGCTTCATTTTGCCAAACCCATCCTGTACCTGGAATAATGAAATTTTTCGCATTTGGATTAGATAATCGAGAAAACCCATAAACAAGCGTTTCATACGTAGATGCCATTCTAGTAAATCTTAATACCCAATCTCTCCATTTTGATCGTACAGAATATTCTCCATATTTACAAGATATGATATTTTTCATCTAAAAAGTAAATCATTTTAAAAAGAAAGTTATTTTATACTTCATCAATAAATATTGTGTCCATATCATTTCGTTGATATTCATTTACATACTCACTGAAAAAATCATCTAAATGACTTGGTATATTTGCGGGAGATATACATGATGATATTTTTATTTTTCCTGTATCAATATCACAAAGAATATCCCACCATTCTGGATGTCGTTCAAAAGTAGGATTTGTAACGCCTGCTATATATCCGGAACTAAAAAGTATTAGCCATAGATTAGTATACATAAAAGATACATAGTAAGTAAGTAATCTATTTTCGAAAGATCTGTATAAGGAAATGTTCTTTCTAAAAATCCTCGTAGTACTCCTAAACCACTAGCCATAGCAGATGAAGCCAAAACATATTTTGCGACATCACCAGCGGATTGCCCGTGTCCCAGAAACACAATTCTCTTTTGAGTAAGTAAAGCATTCATTAAAACAATAATTGGATGAGTATGAGGGCCAATGGTAGTCAGATGAGGATGCAATGGAAATGATTTTGTAGGTAATTGTGAAAATACTTGAAATAGATCTATGAGAGAAAACTACAACAATTGGTTTTCCTTTTTGATAAAAGCTTGTCCTTACATCACCAACAACTTCTGGTAAAATATCTAAAGGTATTTTCATAGGAATTTGTACTCCGAGATAAACTATACTTGTTTCATATTCATGGCAATCTTGAATAGATTCTTTCGGGTTCTTATCTATAAATTTTAGTTATATTTTTTTTTATATTCATAACTTAATTACTTGGAAATTTTTCATGATAAATTGTTTTATAATCATTGCTTCCAAGAATAATACGTTCCCAAAAATTTAATTTAGGCATCATTTTTAAGTCCATAGAATTTACTGAATCAAAAATATGTTCCAATGTCGTTCTTTTTGGATGTTCAAGATATCTTTTAAGAGCAAGAAGCAAAATTGGCTTTTTTGTTAATATTATTCAAAAATAAAAAAATCATAACAGACCTTATAAATATGTATATATGAATGTCTAGTACATATCGCCATTGCCTTTACAAGTGCTCCCCTAGTTTTCCTTTTTAAGCCATGAACATTCAATTAAACAATATATACCGCTTCGCATCCGGGTCATGCTTTGTATTTACCAAATTCAAAACATACATTAATTTCGGTTCATTATTTTCCTGGTCCTCAAAAACTTCATATATATCTTTTTCAGTTTTTTTTAATGTATTAGTATCCCTATGTAGAAAAAATATCGTCCAATCTTCTGACCTCATATGAGCTCGGTCTGGAAGCATCAATTCTGCCAATAATCTTAACCGTAATTAAACTCTTTATTCCTCTTCCCTCTATATCATACTTTGTATCACTTCCTATAGCATGTGGATATTGTTGAGAAATTGTAGGACCTTGATCAATATCAAACTCTGCTATCAAAATATAATCCACATGATGATATGGCATTTCTCATAGAAATAATTCCTTCTATTAACCCTTTATTAATTACAATCTTAACAATTATAGGCATTTTATTAACCTGTTCTTAATAATTCTTAATTTTAATAATATTTTATACTTTTAATGGTGTTTGACACCTTATTTTCGAGCTGCCTTTTAGACTTAAAAATAGTGCTAAATATTTATATTTCTATATTACTTAATAAATAGGCATTTAACAGGAATAAGAAGGATTCTATGACATTATCAGTGTCTAAGGAGTTATTAGATAGTCTTTTATATAAGTTTTCATCACTGGAAACATGTTCAACAGGAACATTAGAAGAAATTAGAAAAATATTAATAGAAGAGCCAGTTTTAAGGCCAATATCAGTGAACAGTAGAGGGGGATTAATGAGTTCTAGAAGGGGGGATAAGAATATTTGTAAAGTTAAAGAGGAAAATAAAGTGTTTAGTATAAAAAAGGATACAGTCGATAGAGCAGAAATTGGAATAAAAGTGTTTAATGAAAGTTTAAAAGTGTTATCTCAGATAGTTAAGAAGTGGGTAGATAGTAAAAGTGAAATTAAGGGGGTAGAAAGTAAAAAAAATATAGAAAATAGTAATGGGATGGGTTATATTGGGTTAGCAAAACATATTGTGAATTGTTTGTTATTATCATTTAAAATTGTTAAAGAAAACTCTATTAAGCTTAATATAAAGGAGTTAGGGGTATGTAAGGCGCATGCGAATATAATTAATCGACTTATTGATTTGGAAATGGTATATGAATTATAATTAGCATGATTTAAAATTATTTATATATATTTATATAGATTTCAATGGCATTTCAGGAGCTTATTATTTTGCGTAATGATTTAGAAAGTTATATAAGACTTATTGTGGAGCAAGGTTTTTGGGCAAAATCATCTAAAAAAAACAGATTGAAAATAAATGAAACGAATAAAGCTATACATGAGATAGTTTCATGGCTTATAAATGTAGAATCACCTGTTGATTGTTTGGAAGAAGATGTAGTGAATTTTATTGTTGGATTTCAGTTAATGGCATTGAGATCAGCTTCACGACATCGAGATATGACTCTTGATGAGGTATTTGTTTGTATGTTTTTTTGTATTCTTTGAATTTATATTTTCCAAGTCATTATTAAATTCTTTTAAATCACGTTTTGGACCAATGGCATTTTTTAGAAGATTAAATCAATTAAATCCAACGTTAGGAAAAAATCAGGCTAATCTTTTATATCGCATTGTTTTAAAATTATGTTCATCGCATTTTTCATATATTTCATTTCAGTTTCAGCTTTGTACTATTGGATGTTTACATGAGGAAAATATAAGTAATAATGATAATATTATGGATGGAATATTAAGGGTTATAATGCATTTATCCAAGATGAATGATTCCCCTTCTTCTTATTCCCTTTGCAAGGAAGCGATAGAAAATTTTTTAAATTCTAGTTCTAGTGGTATGCTTTCGAGAACAGCTTTTATTAATCTTATTTTTTATATGTCTTTTTATGCTGAACAAGTATGTGTTTTTTTTTCTTTTTACTTTATATCTAGTTTCTAATGAGTTTTATAGATAAAAAACTATATTGATGTTTTAAATTGGAACATGTTATTAATCAATAAGTTTGGTCAAAACGATATTATTTCTATTTCATTGAGTTTTCATAATGCATTTTTTGAACTTTCTGAATCATTTTCAATTGGTATATTTTTAAAAAATAATTGATGTTGATTAATTCAGCTGCAGAAAATGGTGGCTATTTAAAAACTGCAAAAGATAATTTAAGTAAACTTTTATCTATGGATGAAGATATTCAAAATGCACCTGAAAGTGAATTGGTTAAATTAATTAAAAGTATGGACAGATTACGTCGTTCTTGTATTTCAGCAATAGATAATTCTACTTCAAATTCTCAGTTTTGTCGTTCTCTCCTTGAAATAATGTTAGAATTTGTTCGTAAATATAATGTTAATAATGTAAGATCCTTCAAATACTTATATATACATATATATTAATTTATATAGATAGGAGAAAAGGAGTGTTTTAAAGTTTTAGGTTTTAATATTTTAACTAGTATTATATCTTTTGTTAAAACAGACTTAACATGCTCTGTACCTAATAAGGATGATCATTTAATTCATCTTTTAGATATTTCTTTGGAATTTGCAAAGTCAGTAAAT